AGTTCCAGCTACTCGGAAGGCTGAGGCGGAAGGATTGCCGGAGCCCAGCAGGTCGAGGCTGCGGTGGCCGGGAGTGGTGGCCACTGCACTCCAGTCTGGGTGACAGAGTGAGACTCCAGCTCCAAAAAAAAAAAAAGAAAACGTTCATTCCTGTCTTGGCATAACATTTTTTTTTTTTTTGGCATAACATTTTTTGAAGCTGAATTCAACTGTTCTGTGTGTCTCGCCTTGTTGTCCCAAACAACATTGGGTAACGTGCTGTGTATAGCTCTCAGTGTGACATGTCACAATCAAGGAGGTGCTATTGTGAGGTGGAAAGGGTGGGTGGTTTGGACTCATAGCTGGGTTGGAAAATCTGGCTCAGTCGCTTTACTAGTTGGGCCATCCTGGGCTAAATGTAGATACCCATATACATGTTCACAAATCTTAAAAATCAGATCCTGTGTATCAAGCCACAGAGCTTTCTTGACTGATCCTCTCTTGACACCCTACAACTTTATCCCAGAGAAAGTCAAAGCCATTGAAGACATGAGAGGTGTCCTCAGGACGGCCGACTGGAGGCCTGTCCTGCAGACAGAGCGCGGAAGCTTTAATTTTCTCTCTGGAGGATGCCATCCGTATACACATCCACGCCTCATCTTCCACACACACCTCCCCCTCTTGACATTAAGCAGGAAAGATAGGGAGAAGCTGGTACCCGAGGGAGCTGTTTCTTCTTGTCACACAAGAACAGATGCTGAAATCCTAGGACAGACAGCACAGAAATGTGGCAGCAGGAGGGTGAGTCAGAGGAAATGGAATGGTCTCCCCTCCAAGATCGATCAAGACCCAGAGGAGAAACTCCTTTGAATCATCTGCCTCCTGGGGCTCCAAAGGGCAGGGACTGACTGTGAGTGCAGCAACTCCGCAGACTCCAGCTGCTGAGAGATGTGCACCGCCAGCTCCCCACCCACCACACCTGCCCTGAGCCTTTTTGATCCCAGACTCGGCTTTCTTATCCCAGGGAAGCTCTCTGGTGGAGTCTCTTTTGCTGCACACACTCACTTCTCAAGTGCTGCCAGCCTGGAAAGTTCTCTTGTGACCATGCTCTGTGGGACACTTCGCTTGTATTTGTACATAGAACTGTACTAAGGTGTACCTCAGGCTCATGTGGTGAGGAGTCAGGAGAGAAAGGCATTCAGGGGTCCCTGCTGAGGAAGTTTGGGAGGGGCCATCATCAGAATCTCTTTCCTTTTTTCTTTTTTAAGTTGGGGTCTAGCCCACGGGTTCGAGACCAGCCCGGGCAACATGGCAAGACCTCATCTCTACAAAAAAATTAGCCAAGCCGGGCTCGGTGGCTCAGCCTGTAATCCTGCGCTTTTGGGAGGCTGAGGTGAGTGGATTGCCTGAGCCCGCGGGTTCGAGACCCACCTGGGCAGCAAGACCTCATCTCTACAATAAATCAAAAAATTAGCCGGGCGTGGTAGTGCACGCCTATGGTTCCAGCTATGTGGAAGGCTGAGGCGGAAAGATTGCCAGAGCCCAGCAGGTCGCAGCTGCGGTGGCTGGAGCGGCCACTGCACACCAGTCTGGGGGACAGAGTGAGACTCCAACTCAAAAAAATAAATAAATAAATAAACACCAAAAATAATTAGCTGGCCAGGCATGGTGGCTCATGCCTATAACCCCAGCACTTGGGAAGCCAAGGTGAGAGGATTGCCTGAGCCCGGGGGTTTGAGACCAGCCTGGGGAACTTGGCAAACCCTCATCTCTACAATAAATCAAAAAATTAGCCGGATGTGGTGGTGTGTGCCTGTAATTCCAGCTACTTGGAAGGCTGAGGCGGAAGATCGCCTAAGGCCATCAGGTCGACACTGTGGTGGTCATGAGTGTGCCACTGCACTCCAGCCTGGGTGACAGGGTGAGAGACTCCAACTCAAAAAGAAAAATTAGCTGGGTATGGTGGCACGCACCTGTGGTTCCAGCTACTTGGAAGGCTGAGGCAGAAGGATCTCCTGAACCTAGCAGGTCAAGGCTGCGGTGGCCGTGAATGTGCCACTACACTCCAGCCTGGGTGACAGTAAGGGTCTGATTCAAAAAAATAAAAATATGAATAAGTTGGGGCCTTACTTTGTTGCCAGACAGAGGCTAGGAAATGCCCCTGGTGGCTTTTTGGTGCTGTCTTTGTAAGTATGAGTTAAAAATTGACTAATTCACAGAAATACTAAGGCATCAAAGTAACCAAATCAGTATGTATGTATGTATTTATTTAGAGTTGGAGTTTCACTCTGTTGCCCAGCCTGGAGTGCAGTGGCATGCCCACAGCCATTATAGCCTCGACCTGTGGGCTCAGGTGATCCCTCTGCTTCAGCCTTACAAGTAGCTGGAACTACAGGCGTGAACCACCACACCCAGCTAATTTTTTTTTTTTTTTTTT